AAGTAATTCTGGCTCATCAGAAATAAAAACCTCGCAATTTTATGTTTCCCACAGGCCATGCAGTCCTGAAATGTTTCAAGGGCCACATTATAAAGTTATACAAATGTAAGCTTAATCTAAATATCTGTTACACATGGAAGGCAGAAGTGGATCAGTTTCTGCATATTTTAACAGCTCAGCTGCGTGAAAGTACACAGGTGTCTTGTGGGCTGCAATATTTTCTCACACGACTTAAAAACGTTCTTATCTTTGGTCTGCAGCTGTTTAACCTGAATGTCTGATCTTTACTGAAAACGTACATGAAGAGAAAAAAAAAAAAGGAGTATCTGGGTGTGACAACAAGAGAGTAGCTCTAGGCTAAAACCATTATGAATGAAAGCAAGTCTACAATAAAACCCGAAAGACAAGGAGTGGTAAATTGTAAATTGTGTAATTTACAGTAATTACACAATAAGAACTGGTGGAAGAAACTACTTTTCTAACATACCACGCCAGTCAACTTGCCATTGTATGTACAATATCAATTAAAAACCCTGTATAAAATTTCACACTAGTAGGGAATTACATCCGATAGTCCTCTTAAACCTGGACACCTGGTACAGGACAGTACAGTTTCAGTCCCAAATCAGTGTTGGGACTGAAACTGTATCAGTAAGCAAACAGCCCAGAGCTTTGAGCCATTAATAGATCTGGAGTTCAAACATCTACATGGAGAGTTTCTGCAAACCTTTAAAAACAACTTATAATGTGAAGGTTTGTAGAGTACCAATCTCTAAAACCATTGTAAGGTGAATGACTGTCACCAGAGTTCTTTCGTCTAATTTATTAGACAGCCTGTCTGGCTGTCCCCTGTGTCCCCTGTCTGGCAGACAGATAGTTTTCTTAGAACCTTTTGAAACGTAATACATTATAGCGATACACCATGCAAGCAAACCGTCTTGTGGTTTCATTACTATATTTGGCAACAAACATTACTGATATGTACACACACTGAAAGAAAATCTCAATGTAAATCATTTTGCTAGCCTGTGCTAAATGTTTTCAAATTAGATTTTAGGGATGGGCATTGCTTTTGCATATTCAAACCATCACTGAAATACACAAATTAGTAACATCTACCCAAATGGCGTTTTGTTAAGCAGCCGTCTTTTATGTGGTGTTTTTCACAAGCGACAGCATAAAAATGAACAGTAACAGGGCATCAGTAATACATGTAGTTATTTGTCAATAGTCATGATAATTTCCCTGACCAGGGTTAGTTTTTACAACACAATGTTATGAAAACTTTCTGTAAATTATTCCAAGGCCATTCTGTATGATTAAAAAAAAATGCTACTTTGTCTTAATCTGTCAAAACCCTGGGAACATTCAAAAGCAACCAGTCAAGTAGTGAAAACATATACATTTGAACATACTTACATATTCAAAGCGATCTTTGCAGAGCTGAACCATGAGATGGAGAAAGACCAAGGCTGAGAACCACAAACACCACATGACCACTTCTTCTACGGTTTGCACATTCAACACTCCAAATATGAAAATGAACTTGTAGAAGATGAAGTTCCAGAATTTATCCTTAAGATGCTGACACATAAAAAGACAAGGCGACATATTAGGTCCTGATTCCCATTCCCAAATGTTTATTGTGATCTACAAAACCATGAATAGGTCAGTATGCGATTCTCAAACTATAACCCACTCAAAGGAAACTATTCATAATACTTGTACATAATTTGTGATTGCGTAAATATTCTATATTGATTATTAAAGTTACGCATAATGTTGTCAAAAACGATTCAACCAAGCCATTGACTTCTTTACAGGCACATCCGCGTACAAACTTTGGTTTTAAAAATAGCAAACCTTAAACAAAGAAATGGGTGAGGCTTGTTTAATATTTGCATTACATCTACCTGTGTTTTACTAAAACCAGAATATTTTCTCTGACATCTTATTAAATTAACTTTCAAACATGGGAGTTGTACTAATTGAAAACATTTGGGTTGCAAAATTGCAACGTTGAAAAACACAATACACTGGACCATAGCAACACAAAACTCACCTGCTTCTCACTGACTCTGAGGGGCCCAAAAACCACATACTGAATCATTTTTGCAATTAACATCAAAGAGCAGCAAAATGTGTTCACCAGCACCTGTCAGGACACACACACAAAAAAAATAGATGAAGTCCCCATTAAATTTTAGCTTAAACAAACATGCTACTACAATATAGCAAAGTTGCAAAGTGGATGACACTCACCCATACAAAGAGACTGTCTGTAATTAGATACCACAAGACAGTTCTGGCCAGTTCTGTGTTACCAACTGCATTGCTCAGATGTTCAAGATCAACATCAGAGGGAGCTGGCGTATCATCAGTTTCCAAGGCCCCAAACCCTGGGTCAGTGACAGTAGTATAGGCACTGAAGATGCTGCCAGCCAGCAAAGCCACACTCAGTCCAGTGTAGGTCTGCAGGCTGGGCCAAGGAAACCTCTCCAGAAACAGCAGAGGCATTTCGCGGTCTCCTGTCCACTTCTTCAATTGTAAAAACCGAGCGTCCACCACCCTGTGAAAGCAGAAATAAGACGGCTAGCGTTAGCTCAACTTAAAAGAGCCAAGCGAAAATATTACATAATCACACCACCTATCGAACAGCTGTGCTAATTTCACGGCAGCTCCTAGATTAACAATAAAATATAATGCAACATTCAAGTGACACACGCAGAGTAAAATGTTGATTAAAAAAAAATAAGACAAAAAATATAAATACAGTAGCTAGCGCTACCAAACGAAGCTAGCTTCCACCTAGCGAACAAATATCAACACTTCCCTTATAAATGAAGTGTAACCATTCATTTTCAATCGACGACAACCCATAAAAACAACGAAAATACGACCACAATGGCCAATAATTCTAACGAAAATACTACAGCAGATGAGACGTTAAATGACAGACGCTAACGCCCTGATCATGGGTTATTTACCTGGCTAACGTTACCCCATACTAGCTTACTGTAATATTAGCTACGTAGTTTCGCAGTATGAGCAAACTTCAAACAACACTCAAACAGCCACTTACAGTTTGTCTCCAGCCTTAATTTAACGTGAAATCCAGGATTGTTTACTCTCAACTGAGCCGTTCTTTCAGTTGACAAGGACCATAGCAGTTGACAACATCGTCGTATTTATTCCACGGAGCACAGGCAGCTGGCTGAGCCTAGACGGAGGAGACCAGACAGCGTCATCAGGACGATTTTAAAGCCGTAGTAATGGAAAATACCTACCACGCTCACTGGGTCGTTTTAAATATTCATTCAATGGCTGTTTAACTGTAAGAAAATACATTTTGAACAATTTCCCGAAAAAATAAGCATCACACAGATTCTCCAAAAAAGAAGCAATACATCATATTTCCTTCAAAAGTGTTTTGTTCTGCAAAATGACGAAAAGAAAAAGGTGGAAACGTTTAAAATGGATTATAAACTGCCTGGTTATCTAACCATATGGCCACAAAGAAATTTAAAGAGGAGAAGCGAAAGGAAGTGAAGTGGATTGGAAGTGTTTGCCAACAAATTGTGGTGTTATCCAGGACATGTTGCTGTGGTAGTGTGGTATTGAAATGAACTGAATTGATTACAATTATTTGAAGGTTTTGTGAGTGGGGTGGTATCACAAAATAGACCATGATTATAATGGAGTTCGTTTTTTTTTTTTTTTTGCATTATTTAAAATAATACTAGCACCGAGAGTATATTTAGAAAAATTGACTGTGTTTTCTTTAAAAAACAAAAACAAAACAAAAAAAACACTCTGACAACAAACCTCTGCAAGTTCTGCAACATAAGCAATTTAAATCTAGAGGAATGTTCAATTTTTTTAAAAGCGTGACTTATTTCCTCTGCAGCAAATAACACATGACTTGAGTTGGTTAATTATATACATTTAAAGGTCAGTAATGGTTTAAGATAGTTACTGAGATATCCCAGAGATGAAAATCACTTGTGGTTTGTGAGGAGTAAAGATAAAAATGTGATCAAGTGATTTAGCAATTCACATCCCAAAATTTTTGAATGACACCATGAAGCTTTGAATGTCTAAAAATCTCCAGGCGTTTATATAAGATGAGTTAAAATACAGCTAAAATCCAGAGTTCTTTTAAAGTATGAAGAAATCTGAAGGTATTGATTACAAAGAATGCATGGAGAAATAATTTGATTACATATTTCTAAATGCTCTTTTGTTAAATAACAGCAATTTCTCATGTTTTAAGTGTTTTTCCCTCCGTCAGCCATTCTTCACATATTGCCTACAGTGGGTTTCAGAAGAAATGCCAGTATTTCTTAGCTAAATACAAACATATTAACTGTATCTATTGGACGACAGGTCAATATATATGTAAAAAAAAAAGTTATGTAACACAGTTACAAAGCAAACCAAAGTATGTACCAAAGTACTTACTTAGGCAGTAGTAATGAAAAGACAACCAGTAATTTATGTGAATATTTGTGCTTTCCTTTCCACCTTCTAATATTTGTGTTTTGCACACATTAATCAGCTGTCTGTTTTAATTTCTTAAATAAATTGTAGATCTTTGCTGGGCTTAAACCTGTCTGATTAGGATCCAAATCAATACTTATGTAAAAACCATATACTGTGTCCTCCAGATACTTCATCTAGTGGTTCCCAACCAAGGTAAAAGCTGGAATTTCTAATGTCCTTCTAATTCAGTCTGTCATCTGAACAGTCCTAGAAGCTATCCCCAAATCTAAACTTGATAATTTTGCAAATAGCAACGTGTCTAAAATAACAGTAGTACCTATTTTCTCTATTAATCATCTATATCACAATGTAAAAACATTAGGGAGACTTCATGATGTCACGTTGGTTGTGTCAACGTGACAGCCAACTCCTTCAGTCACTGAAAAGAAACTGATTGCACAAGTGAATAAGGGAGTCATGCATTTTACTAGGTCAGAAAGAACCCTTTAAAGAAACTAAAGCAAAACCAAAGCAGAAATGACAAATTCTTCCACAGAAACCAAGTGGAAGTGCAACAATCAAGACACAGAGGTAAGAGAATATTATAACTAAATGTACAGTTAGGGATAAACAGCATAATTAGGGCAGGTATAAAGATTATCAGATAAAACCCAGGTGAGAGGAGAGAGAAGAAAATAACATAAAACCCAGACATACCATTAAAATGTATTTAAAATTCAGACCCCAAACCATAAGAAGATGTAGTCTAGTTAATTGTGCTTGTTTAATATGTGTTGTAGAAACTGTAAATCAAAAACAATTATCATTTAAGTCTTTGCGTAATTAGTTAGTAATAAGATATTTACATTTGAGACTAAGTTTGATTTAATTCCTAAATTTGTGTAGATTTTCCTGTTTGAGAAATAGACCCAGTAGCTAAAGGTAATAATTAACTCTTCAGATAAATATAAATTCAACAAATGAAATTGACAGAGTCCAAAGTTAAAGTTTGTGGTCATGATGTAACAAATCCCAATGTTAAACTTGTTGGGAGAAAAGTTAAAGCAAATCCAGCTTCCCTTTATTTTCTTCCACAACAGCAGGTACTGTCATCGCATTAAACTTTTCTAATAGTAAGTTTTATTTGGTTTATTTATAAATATTACGGCTGCTACATTTAATTTGTCATAACCTTTTTTAATGCTTTTTGCATTCATATCTCATTCAGGAATAAAGAGAACAAAACAAAGAACATAAAAGTGGAGAAGGTGGTCTTTGTATGCAAGTTCTTGAAATTGAATAACTTCATATAAATTAATTTTTGGGTAATTAGAAACTGAATAACTACTTGTCTATTTGTAATATACTATTTGCACTCTTATCAATTTTCTTATATCATTTTTTTACTACTTTACAACTGTTTTACTTTGTTGTAGCTTACTAAGACATATTTATAAACATATGGTATTATTTCAACCATCTTTCATTCTTAATTTTAAAGTCAGATGGATCACATGTCTGAAGTTGCAACATTAGGGATGGATCTTTGCATGAATTCCTTATTTGCTGCTCATGCTAAAATCTGCATTCTCTTCCATTTGTTCAAAAAGGGAAGTGGAGCCTTGCTTGAACAGCAGTTTAATTGTTTTTGTGGAAACTCTTCCGCAAAAACGCATTCCCGACATGGACCCCTCCATCGAGATGTTACCTTCAGAAGCCCCCAAGGAGGTAGATGGCGGGACAACCGTGGCGTGTGTTATACTGGGTATTTCCTTCCTGGTTGGAGTTCCAGGGAACCTGCTCGTAATCTGGACTATCCTGAGGCACGTCAAGCAGCGCTGTCACACTGTGGTCCTCATCCTGCACCTGGCAGTGGCAGATGTGATGGTCCTCATCACTCTGCCTGCCTGGATCTACTCCCTGGTGCACACTTTTGAGTTTGGATTGGTACTTTGCAATATCTTAATCTGTGTTATCACTGTGTGCATGTATAGCAGCATCTTCTTCATCACTCTTATGAGCGTGGAACGCTACCTAGCCATCTGCCATCCATTTCTGATGATGCGCTGGAAGACTGAAAAGAATATGAATGGATGTATTGCATTTTTGTGGCTTCTTGCGCTTCTTCTTGGATTATCTGAAATTTTAGCCCAGACTTTGGCTGGAAGCGAGCAAAGCGATCAGTGCTTTGTCAGAGACTTCAACAACAATACTCTAGAAATTGTCTTCTTGTGCCTGCAGACGTTGCTGGGCTTTGTGCTGCCTTTCATTACACTAAGCATCTGCTACTGTCTTGTGGCTGTGCAGCTCAAGAAAATGAGATTTAATTCTAAACAGAAATCCAAAGTTCTCATTCACACTGTAGTGCTCGTTTTCCTCCTGTGCTGGTTACCCTACCATGTTATTAAAATTATTGATGTAGTTTGCATTTTTGGGACAGACAAAGAGAATGAGTGCGTACCGGAAAGTTTGGTCTTCAGCTCTGGTGCCCTGGTTTTTATCAGCAGCACAGTGAATCCTGTATTATACGCCTTCTTCGCCAGGAACTTCAGAGGCAGTCTTGGAGAGTCTGGTCTGGTCAAACTGTTTCAGGAACTGGCCTCAAACACAAATAGACTCAAGGACCTTGCAATACAGCAGCAGAAGCACCAGAGCTCAGCAGACACAGAGTTCACGTCTCCAACTTTCAAATAAAAATGTGAGTGGGGGTAGTACTACAGCTATGGGAAAACTGGACTGAGAGGTGAATGTTTCCTGTTGTACTGACACCAAATGTGATCTAAGAAGTTTCACAATAATATTGAGTTGCACTTCTCTTTACTACCACATGGCTGTGCCATTGATTTAATTGAGATTCAGTCAAAACTTATTATATGTTTTTAGAAAAGTTTAAAAGAACTTCTGGTTGTTGCTGAAGAATATTTTGTGAAAGTCTAAATTTATCATTATTTCCTGTTACAGATATTGTGTTTAAAAAAAGGGGAAAAAAAGATTTGCTTACTTATCACCAAATTGCTGATATGTCGTTTAGAAGCAAATGAAACTCAACAGGGACAGCAATTTGTTACTGTTTTATAACCTTGGTAACATATCAAAAATGTATTATTCCATTTTAGAAACAGGAAATGTCTTGCATGATAGTGTATGTTATTTTAATCCTGTCTGAGATGCTTCAGTTATTGCGAATAAAGATATTATCTATTTGTATATTCTTTGCGACTAAAATGTAGTTTGAGCAAAAAAGTAAGATTTCCCAACATACAAAGTGCAGAAGTGCAGGAAAAAAAGCAACAACCTTGAATTCTGCATTTTTTCCCCCTCCTTGTTGAAGACATCAGAAAAAGCATGGGAATTAAGTCGACCATCCCATATTAGCAAACACTGTGGTTTGAGTTGCAACCTTGCTTAAACCTTTCGTGATGTCACCAGATGCAGATGCGTTTGAAAGCTTATTTTTGAGATAGTGTATTTTTGTTATGACTAAATAAAGATTCATAATAAAACTGCAGCAGACATAGAAAAACTGACCCAGGCATGTTTTTCTTGGTGACAACCTACAATACAATAGAGTGAAAATGTATTTTTCTTCTTTCAGATTTGCTCTATTTTTGTGTGTGGGGTTTTTTTTTCTTCTTCTTCTTTTTTGTTTTGGTTTTCTTTTTTCATTTTCTTTTTTTTTTTTTTGCTTTTTCGTAACATTTACTGTAATTGTTTTGGAACATCAAACTGTTTTGAATGTCAGTCAAAATCACTTAATCACCCTTTTAAATAAATATTTCATTAAATGTGATTGCCAAATTTGCTATGTAAAGTTACTGTCACAACTCTAAAAAGAAAAAAAAAACAATACATTAAGTTCCAATCCAATTAAATTTAAGAATTCAATAAGAAGCAGAAGGTATTCATATATATCAATCTGAAATCTATGGTTGGGAATCTAAAAAATCACTGAGAGCCATTATGAACAAATACAGAAAATAATGAGCGGGCAGCTAATTAGCACTGCCTTTTTGTATTTGACTCATTATCTATGCTTACTAAAAAAAAAGTAGGCACAAATGGCATCAGAGGGCAAGTTGGAAGGCAAAACCCACAGCTGACTAAAACAAACACGAACACCCGTCTCATGTTTGTGAAAAATTTGGGAAAATATTCTCAAGAGCGGTGTGGTAAAAGTCAAACTTCTTGGAAGGTGAGCATCTTCATGAATCTAGCATGAAACTCAAATAATAAAAAGTTTCAAAAGGGCTTCGTCAAAATCCGTCCCTAAATGAAATAGTGACCTGCCTTGAAAAGAATACTAACAATTATCTTAGGACAAGTGGGAAAACACTCCTCCACAGCGATGTCTGAAGTGTTGCCTGTAGTAAAACAAATAAAAAAATACTTGACGTTACTTTTTGCCACAAAGGGGGCCATAAGTTGCAGATGTAGAGCTAAATTATTTAACACATTAAATAAATTAATGAACTTTAAAAACAGTTTTTTGTATGTATTCAAACATGCCTTTGCAGATCTGGAAAATTTAGAGGGTAACTAAGCAATATCAAAATCATTCAATAAGGGAACAAATACTTTTCCCAGTACTGCATATCTAAGTCTGACTGAATTTCCTTAAAAAAATGGTAAACAGCTTTAAGGTTTTTGTCTCTTTCCTTTTAGTGAAGCTATGCAGCGACTTGTGTAGAAAGCATTAAGTCATTTTTTTTAAACGTGTGATTTCCTAGTGATTTATCCTTTATCTTTTACCTTAATTTTGATGACACATGTGTGAGTCACATTGTGGATCTTAAAAAGCCATGTCAGTAAACCCTGTTCCTGTGCAGTCCTTACATAAAGAGGAAGTGAAAACTTTTGGGTTTTTTGCACTCAGACACCACAGTCAGCACATACACTTTGGCAGAATGAACATCTCACATGCACGGTCTCCGTTGGAGGAAATGGCCCTTGAGGAATTTGATGGTGGAACAGTGGTGGCGTGTGTGATCCTGGGTCTGTCCTTCTTGGTTGGTGCTCCTGGCAACCTGCTTGTGATCTGGACCATCCTGAAGCATGTGAAGAAGCGCTCACACACAGTGGTCCTCATCCTGCACCTGGCGGCGGCAGATCTGGTGGTCCTCATTACACTCCCTCTTTGGATCTACTCCCTCGCCCATTTCTGGGTCTTCGGAGAGGCATGCTGCAAAGCCATGGTGTTCGTGATCTACGGCTGTATGTACAGCAGCGTTTTCCTCATCACGCTCATGAGTGTGGAGCGTTTCGTCGCCGTGCGTTATCCCTTCGTCTCTGTAGTTTGGAAGAAGAAACAAGCCTTAAATAAAGTCCTGCTTGCCCTGTGGTCAGCTGGGTTCCTGTTCAGCATACCTATTATTCCGACTCAAACTACCGAGGGGGACGATGGTAAGACGCACTGCCAGTATCGCTATTATACTTCTGACACTCAGGAGCTGGTGTGTTTGTTGCTAGAGACGGTGGTGGGATACATGCTGCCCTTCTCCATTCTTGTGGTCTGTTATGGGTGCTTGTGCAGTCGTATAACTCAGATGAACTTCAGGTCCAAGCGCAAGTCCACTGTCTTGATTGCAAGCATAGTGGTTGCGTTTGCCATTTGCTGGACACCCCATCATATAGGAAACATCATCTCCATTGTTATTCTGGCCATTGATGACTCAAAGAGTGACATAGCAAATAAACTGGAAACTGCTAGACAAACCATGATGATCGTAGCGGGAGCCATGGTCTTCATCAGCAGCAGCATTAATCCTGTCCTCTACATGTTTGCGGCCCGCTCCTTCAGGGAGTCGCTACGTGACACCGGCATCCAGAAACTCTTCCGCCACATCTCCAGCACATCACCGGGTGAGGGAAACAGAGAGATATCCTTTGTGTCGAGGAGACAAAGCAATCAGACAAACTGCTCTCAGCTCAAGACAGAGTCAAAAGACGATATTAATATGTATTGAAGTTGTGTGTAAATAATATTTTTCCTGAGAATGAAATGTGTGAGGTGTTTTGCATTAAACCCTCTTTTAAATGAACCCTCAACAGGCAAACAACGTGTCTCTGCTGATATATCCAGTGCATTTACATTTATTTCTGCTGTTAATTTATTTATGAAACTTTAAGTATTATGTATGCTGTGTCTGTTGTGCAAATATCTTTTATCATAAAAAGCAATACATTTATATATGAACAAAAGTGAAGTAAAGCTTTTTTTTTTAAATGAGGCGTTTCCTGATGTTTCATTTTTATTAAATTGAAATAAAATGGTACTTCACTTTTGGGAACAGGATTGGCTAATGTTCGGTTTTTTAATGTTAGCGATCTTGTGGTTGCTGTTGATGCAAGTTAAGATGTGGTTGTGTGCTGTTACTGAATTCTGTGGAAAACAAAAAAATTCAGGTTGTTTCACTTTCTAGATAAGTCTATAGCTTCTTACAGCCCTGACTATAAATTAGTTTGATAGGCTGAGTTTGTTGATTATCTGTTCTCACAATTTGGTTTGACACTTTTTATTTTATGCACTCTCTGCACCCTACCTGTCTTTAAAAATATAATTAGCTTAATTTCAAAATATTTTTAATTCATTTAGCTTTTTATGTGTTTCAGATTACACTGCTTTCATTAAGTTTTTTTTTTTTTTTTTTTTTTTTTTTTTTTTTTTTTTTAAAAAAAAAAAAATTTTTTTTTTTTTCCCCCCAGGGCAGCTTTTTTT